AGCTGTACATTTATAAAAAAAAACCAGATCATATACTGTATATGTAAAAATCTCAAGATGGTAGAAACATGTATGAATGTACTGAGTAGTATCCCACTGTACTCACGCATAAGGTAGGCCTTACTACAGACTCACACCGGGTGCTGACAGACGTGCACTGCTCCTTTCCAACTATAGCATCAGTGTTACCGCTTTCTAGTTCAGTCCTGCAGACCCTCGTAACCCTCTCCTAGGTTAATTTTCCTCTGTCCCCTCCAGCCCCACCCCGTAACCCCTCCCTCCTAAATAAATAAAGGAATCAGTGAACCACCCTGTTCTTTCATGGTGTTTGTCTGGGTTGAATTGTTCCCCCCTCCCAGAGGAAGTATGAAGTCCTAACCCCCAGCACCTTACTTGCAAATAGGGTCTTTACAGAGGAAATCCAGTGAGCCCTCATCCAACACAACTGGTATCTGGATAAAAAGAGGAGATTTGGACCCAGATCAACACACAGAGGGGGAGAAGATGATGTGACAGGTCTGCCACTGACATGCCAGGGAGGGGGCCTGGAACTGATCTTTCCATCACAGCCCTCGGAGGAGCCAGCCCTGCCCACACCTGCACCTCGGACGTCCAGCCTCCACAACTTAAGGCAGCAAAGTGCTGCTGCCAAGCCACCCAGCCCAGCACAGCGAGGCAGTGTTTACTCCAGTAACAGTGGAAAGCTGGAAACGACGTTATGTCCATCCAGGAGGGAGACCACGCCTTCTCGGTCTGTCCTTCCTCGGTGGCTTCAGCGATCCTTAAGTTCCTGGGCAGGTAGGGTGTGACAGCACACCTTTGTGTCATTCAGGATCCCCATGTCCTTGGGAAACAAATTATCCAGGGTTACCTATTAGGGACAAAGTATACCATTTAATTCTGTTTTACTTCAAGAACAGAGTGCAAACTTCATTCACTAACAATAGCAAATAATGTTTAAAGTATATTTCAGCTCCAGTTGATGATTAGTTAAAGAGGAAAATAAAGTGTGATGACACGGGGAAGGGGAATTCTGACACTAAGTCTCTACATCTTACAAGGGACTTCCAGTTTCACACTCCTAGGCTCACTGACAGTGGGAGAAAGGCGGCAGAACTAGAATTCGAACAACTCCCCACAGCCTCAAGTCACAGGCTGCTTTCTCGCAGGCAGGACCACCCAGATCGCCCTCCTGCGTCACCTGTGTCACCGCCAGCCCCTGTCCAGCTCCCACGTGCCTCGCCCAGGGCCGGGCTCACGGGAACGCTCGGCACACGTTGCCTGAGTAGGAGACTGAATTGATGTTTATAGATGAAGACACACGAACCTAGGCTTCCTCTCATCTCTGGATCTAGCCAGGCCTGCTGTTTGTTCGCTGTTCAGTTAAACAGACAGGAGAGTAGTTCAGGAATCACTCAAGCAGGGAGGACATACAGAGCAGCAAGGGCCACGCCTGCCTTCTAGAACTGCCATTTCGTGTGGGAGAAGGGGCATGTGTGTGCACATACCTCATGTGCATAGCAGTAGAAACTGCCCTGTACCTGTAAAAACGTGACAGATCCCTTCCACTGACGGTTTAAAGTAACCCAGGACCACGTGAGCAGGCTTGAACTCGGACCCGAGGGCAGAGGTCTTCAAACTAGCCGTGGACCAGCAGTTCCCAAACCCTGGCCTCAGAACCCCTTTATACTCTTGCACATTCCTGAGGCCCTCTGAGAGTTCTGCTTCAGTGGGTTTTAGCTGTCAGTATTTACTAGAAATTCAAACAGAAAATTTTAAAACACCAGCAATCACACACTTCCCATCATCACATGTCATACAGCCTCTGTAGGATTCCACCATAAACTACTGACAGAATGAGAGTGAAAAAAGTAAATAACATCCTAGGATTATCATAAAAAGAGTTTTGAACTCCTAGACTTCTTAAAATCAGACACATTTTGAGAACCACCAGGCACGGTAAGTGCTAATGAATGGGGGATGCAGCAGGGAGAGGAGCTGGCTTTCTGAAACATCACGCCAGGGGCCATCTTGTCACCCAGCTCAGGGAAGACTGGCACCCAGGGCGAGGGCGACGCTGAAGCCTTCTTTATGAGCTTGCTGCCCCACCAGCAAGGGTGTGGACCACCCACACCCACCTGATCAAACGTGACCCACCACCCTTACCAAGTCCACCCCATGAAGGCAGAGAAGGGTGAGGAATGCAGTTTCCCTTTTAAAGGATGTTCCTTGCAAAGTGCACACACCAGGTCCACTCACAGTCTGCTGTCCAGAACTTAGTCATGTGGCCTTAAATGCAAGGGTAGGGTGGGAGTCTCTTGCCAGGGACAGTTAGTCTCTGCGCAGAGCAGGTTGCCCAGAGCCCAGGAGATAGCTCCGTCTCAGCCATGGCTCCTTCCAGGTAGAGATGCTCACCAGGACAAGTGAAGGACAGCATGGCTGTGCAGCCGCGTGACCGGGCTCCCTGCAGAGCAGGGCATGTACGTAATCCAAATCCTTTCCCTTGTGACTCCCTCTGAACTCCCCCAGACCTCCTGAGTGGAGGTGGGCTGACCGGGGCTGGCCCTGCCTCCAGTACAGCAGGTTTTCTGGGTGGTTTCCTTGGTGAGTGAGGGTGGAGTCTGGTTTCAGGAGCAGAGAGTGCATGGTGCACCTTTGGTCGAGAGCCTAAAGATATTCCTGGCACCCTTCACCTTTGAGCTCAAAGGAATAGGAAGCACTGCATTGCCTTCCCTTCATGTTTTGTCTCTCCCAAGGCCTAGCTGGTCTCACAGTTCCTGCTGAATTCAGGAACTCACTCTTATTCCCCCCAGCTCATCTTGATTCCTTTCCCTCCTATGGGACGGGACCTGCTCTGCTAACCAGCATGGCCTAGTCCAGAACCTCCACCTGCAAATGAGAAGGCGCAGTCCGGGTCACTATCTAGCCCAAGGTCACAGCCTCGCCCAAGGTCACCCAGCGCTCATTTGGAGGAGCTGCCATGTGAACCTTGATCTGACCCTCAGGCCCACCCATACTTTTCGTCTTTGACGAAATTATTAAGGAGTTTGGTAATCAGTCTCATTTTAAACTTCCAGTATCTTTCTCTCAAAAATCAAAAACCTACAAATAGAAAAAAAGCCTCACATATGACTCAACAGTTACGCACACTCTTTTGAAGGGCAAGAGCTATGTCTGACCTATCTCTGAATGCCAGGGTCCATCTCTTTCCAAGAACATCGGCCTCCTTAAATGACAGCCAAGAGCAGTCAAGCACCTCCAGACACCATGCTAAGGGCTTGACGTGCTTTAGTACAAAACCCCGAGGTAGACGCTCTCACCCCCGCTTTACAGACACAGGGACACGCCCAGAGGTCACACAGCTGCTAAAGGAGACGGAAACTCAGCCACCCAGGTCCATGGTCTGTGCCCTTCAAATACTGGGGTTGCAGCATCTCATTTTCTAATTCCAGTATTTTTATGATATGATTTCTACTTTTACAGCTTATTTCACGTTTATAACACCTTAGTTTTGGGTGCCTGCTTGGCACATAAGTATCTTAAAGGTCCTTTTTTAATAATGACATCCTGGAAGTATGAATTTCCTGAGTCAGGGTATTTAATATTTAAGCCAAATATGTAATAAAGAAGCTATCAAATGTCTTTGGAATATGCCTACAAAACCCATCCTTTCTTGATGAGAAGTTGGCGCTCGAGCATCCCTGGGAAATAAACTGCTTTGCAGAGCCAGGAAAGCTCCCTCTCATGGTCTCACTTCGTTCCCATTCACACTTATGACTAAGTTGGTCTAAGGCTGCCATGGGAACCAACTTCACTGACTCAACAAGGGATATTTATAAAACTTTATACTAGGACTGAACATATAAAGACACCCAGCTCCTCCCCACGCTGGAAACTTACTAGTCGGGCAGCCCGGGCCTGCCCAGGTAGACGGGTCAGTGAGGCTCCCCTCCCGGGATAGGGGCAGTCACACGCCACGGCTGAGTCACAGAGCCAAACACCTGTGGGCCTCGCTGTCAGGTGGAAGGCAGCTTTACCACACTCTAGACTAGGGAAACACCGCATTAAACGATTTTACTGCAAAGCTTCCCAGAGCCTTTATGAATCTTACATGAGTTTGCAATGTTTCCCAAATGCATGTAACTCCTTTCTTTCAGAAAACCAATTAACATGTTGAACTAGTAGTTTGGAAAGTTGTTGCTATAAGAGACTCATTTATTTCATGGTTTTTGGGGTTTTTTTCCCCCAGGTCACCCTTCCTTTTGTATCCTTATGGACTCATGTATTTTTTAGTGCATGAGAATGCACTCCCCCTTAGAAAACAATGTTAAATGTAATCAAATGCCCCCCTCTACCACCCCCACACAAAATCTAACCCATAATGTAGTTAGAACAATGGGAAAACGCATTCCAAGTTTCACCTTTAACAGGATGTCACAGGCCCCCTTTTTTCCAGCTGTGGCCTCTTAGGACTGCTCTTCCTGGTCTCAGCCGTGCCTTCAGTGAAGCACATTATGAGGGTTACCGGTGGCCATCGCCCTAGTGGGCCAGGTGTTCCTGTATAGGAATTAGAGAATAGTTAAGTAGGTTCTAGAAAAGGAATTGTCATGGTTATCCTCCCGTTTTTTTTTGTTTGTTTGTTTTGTTTTGTTTTTTTGCAAGGGGAGGTAATTAGATTTATTTATTTATTTAGTTTTTTGATGGAGGTACTGGGGATTGAACCCAGGACCTCATGCATGCTAAGCATGCCCTCTACCACTTGAGCTGTAACCTCCCCCCCATTTTAAATTTTATACAATGAACCAATCTTTATATTCACCAAGTTTACGAATGAGGGAACATTCACTAAAGCCAAGTTCTAGTTTTTTTGTTTGAGAAAATTGTAGGAAGGTCAAAGCCATAAGGGCAGTAATTCACATGCTATTCATAATACCTCAAAAAATTAGTCAAAGCAAGTTCCTCGTGATGTCTTCAGCACAGAACAATAAATACACACAGGATACCTTAAGAAAAATTAATAGCTTTATTTTTCCTCAATATACATTTAGAAAATCGGTCTGAGAAAAGGTTTCAGGAAATAGACCAGAGGACTATATACAAAGTCAGGAGTTCCAAATCCGTAAGACAAAGTGCACGGCCGAAGCACTGCTCCCCGACGGCCAGGGCAGCCTAGGACCGTCCCATGAGAGGTGAGGCGAGCTCTTTGATGGCTTTTGCGTTCAGCTGAGGAATCGTGCTGATCTTCAGGAGCTTGCTGCTTGCATACTTATTCTTGACGGCCTGCAGAAGTCATCTGTGATTAAGCACACATCAGGAACCTCCCCGGCCCCAACTTATACCTTATTCCTAGTCTAATTTACAAGTATCAAAGGGCCACACCCACAGACCCACAAAGGCTAGGACGATGCCACATCACTGGAGCCAGCAAGTGCTCCAGGGCATGTGTCGGGCCTGACAATTTCCTTCCACGCGCAGTCATGCAAAAAGACCAGCTGGTAGCACAAGTGATGGGGGAACCAATGATTTCAAGGTCCAAAGAGCAGGCTGTCTCTCACAAGCCACCAGAGGGGTGGGAGGTGGAGCTGTGTTTATCACACCTAAGCGCTATCAGCACTGGCAGCAGTAACTGGCAATAAAAGCGAGTGACAACTAGTGCTCAGCAGATCCCAGATCCCTCAGGACTGAACACACGTGATGCTTTCACAGTGTGTTAAATCATCCTCCAACGACAAGTCAGGAAGCAGATCAGGCCGTGAGGACACTTGGTACAGACGCCTCACTCTGTCACCAGACCTTCGGGGAGCTCTGATACTCAGCATCACACGAACACAGGACAGCACCCCATCTTCTGTGGCTCCTCCTCTCAGGTGGGCCACACAGAGACAGACCCCAGGCTCCCAGGATGCTGCTTCCTGAATGGGCTTCCTGCCCCTCCTCCTCCACCATGCTTGCTGTCCAGGTGCCTCTCAGTCATTGTCCTAACAGATGCTGGACAAAGGCCCTGAGTGATGTCACCTGAATACCCAAGCCTCCACAGAGCCACCCAAGTTGGATGCTTGCTGTTCCAGACCACATGCCGGCCAGCCTTCCCTGCTTGCTGGGTGCCCCGCCCAGGGCACTGGGTCAAGGGGGGCCGGTACACTGAAGCTGCCTGGTGACTACACTGGGCCCGACACAGCGAGCCTGATCTACCTTGTTTTAAAGAAAGTCTGCTGTCAGGGTTTATCAGTGTGCTCCTTCCCCTGCTGTGCTAGGAAAATATAAAGAGTTTGTGCTAACACAGACTCTCACATATGCCAAAATATTTACGTGGAAATGCAAACACACATACATGCACATCCTCTCATACCCCAAACTCATACTCGAGTGCTTTCCACAGCTTACGGAAGAGTACTTACGATGAATTTTGTTAAGTTCTCGTTTACTTTCACTACGTTCTTGGCCATGTGCTGCATGACTTCTAACACTTCACTCTCCGTATATCCAGTGTAATATTGCTGCTTTAAGTTCTGGAAGAAAATGCAAAGAAAGGGGCAGGATAAAGCCGCACTTCTTTACAAGAGCACAGGTTTACACATGCTGGTCTTACTTATGGAAAAGCTATAAAAAAATATTCTTACCTTCCGGAAATTCAGTCACAGCCCCAGCCACTACCATGGTACCAGCAAAGCAGCCATTGAACACAGGATGACTCTGGCTCTGAGCAAGACTAAATTAAGACGCTGTGCGGCTCTGAGCTAAGTCAAGTGGCGAAGGTCCCAAATTATGATATTTTAAAGAAAGTTGCACAGGTAAGTAGGGTCCTTCAAGTCCCAAAGCTGTCATGCTTACCTCTGTCACCACACTGAAAGGGGAGGGAAAGTGGGACAGAGTAAAATCAAACCCAACAAAGGAATGCCCCCTTTACAGTAAGGGAGAGACCTAAGACTAGCACATCCATGGTCCTCTCATCAAAGCCCTGCCCGGCAGTGGCTGGCGGGGCGCTCGAGAGCCCAGATACATATATTGTCAATCAGGGAAAGAATTTCAGAATTAAGAAACGGCACTGTAGGCAGGAGTCTAAACTCCCAAACCCAGAAGATCTAACACTGCTCGAGACTCTCTTGTTGGGCCCCCACGTGGTTAAGCCCTGGAGAACACAGAGCACCCAGAGAAGGCTCCATGCTCAGCCTGGTGACCCAGCCTCCCAGAAGACAAAATCCAAGCAAATGGACAACTACTGATTGATAATGAGACAAAATCTGCATGAAGATAAGTAACCTGACCTTATTTCAGTTTTGTGATAAAATTCTAAAAGCTTAATTACACCCCTTTCATATACACAATGTAATTGGGAAAGTAAATCACAATTTAATCTTAATCCTAAAATAGTTTAAAGGAAAAAAGAACTAAGCAGGAGTGAATTCTGATGTAATTTGAAATCAATTCCCCAGAAAACAGGGAGACCTATATAGTTAATAAGTTTAAACCAAGGATGCATGTCTAAAGGTAATCTGGCTACAATGAGCCAGTGGTACCAAGACCAGGTACCATACACATACTAGCAGCCTTTTTGCCTTAAGTTTGTTTCAAAAAATTTCAAATTTATAGAAAAACTGAAAGAATAATATAATAAACATCTATATATTTTCTGTGCAGACTCATTAGTTATTAACATTTTGCCTCTTTCTCTTTCCTCCTCTTTCTCTCTCTCTGATGGTGTCCACAATTCACTTTCAAATGGTTCAGCAAAAGTTGTGTGTGACTTGTGAAGCCATCAAATGGCTGTATGATCTGGAAATGCGCTGCAGACGCATGACACATCACTTGTAAATGTTTCAGAAGCATCCCCTCAGAAGTATTTTCCTTCCTAGCCACAATAACTTTGTCACATAAGAAACATTATCAGCAGTCCCACAGTCTCATCAAATACATAGTCGATATTCAAATTTCTCCAACTGCTGCAAAAATACCTTTTCTAGTTTTTTCTTCTTATATCTAGGGTCCATTCAAGGCACACAAAGTATATTTGGCTGTTGCTGTCTTTAGTCTTTTTAAATTTAAAACACCTTCCATTTTCTTGGCTTTAAATGACATTAACTGTTTTGAAGGATCCAGGCCAGTTACTTTGAGCACATCTCACACTCTGGATTTGTGTATTTCCTGATGATTGGATCCGTGTCCAAAATTTTGGACATGAACTCTATACAGGTGACAATGCATACTTCCTACTGCCCTAGAAGGCAGGGCAAGTCAGGAAGGCCCACCCCTGGTGATACCAAGCTCCATCACTGGGATAAATGGTAGTTAACTGCCAGACCTCTCCACCACAAAGGTACAGTTTGCCTTCAGAATTACTACGTATCTGTGGGGTGATATTTTGAGACAATGTGAATCCTATTCCCCCAAATTATTTCACCTAATGCTATAAGCATCATTCGATGATCCTTGCTTGAATCAATTATTACCCTGGGGGTTTTAAAATCGTGAAATTCTATCTCTGCCATTGCTTCTACTCTGATTAGCTGGCATTCAACTGTTATTTATTTTTAAAGTCCCTCTCACCCTTCCTTTTGCATCCTTATGGACTCATGCATTTTTTAATGCATTGTGATCTGTTACTGTCACTGTTTCTTTGAATGCTCCAATTTACTCAGTAAGAGCCCTTTCAAGCCAGTTCCTACGTCTCTTTGATGTGACCCACTGACCTTTGAAAATTTACTTGCTATCTGTTACAAACTGATCAATTCAGGTTTTCCTTTTACTTCCTGACACAGCCCTGCAATCAGCTACGTCTGGAAGGAGCCCTAGTTCCCAGTGGGTCTCGGCATTTAGTACCGAAGATGTGGGCACTGGGCATGTTCTTTTCTACTGGGTTGTCATTGTCTCCCTCGTCTTTTGTTATGAATTTACTGGTATTTCTAAAACAGATGTGATATTTCTAGGACAAATCTATCTAATATTATAAGATCTTCCTTGTTTTTATTTGTTAACAATATTTTATCTTCTTATACTGAAAATTTTAGTCCTTAATAACATGAATGTTTATTTGCTTTATCCTAAAACATATAAGCAGCTTCAGAATTTTAGTGACAGGTTACTATTAACCTCCTGTTAACATCACATCCCACTGAGGAAGCGGTCAGAATGCTGTGTTCAAGAGTTATTTGAATTAATTCTTCCCTCTGTGTTCTGTTACTGATTTGAATATGCAGTGACATTGTTTGTTTCTGCTTAATTCTAGCTTAGTGTTTGCATAAAACATTCATATTGTTCAAAAGTCCAGAAAGTTACATTATATTGTGTACAAGTTAATGCAAAACTACAACCAGAAGTCCTGTTTCCCATCCTCAACCTTCTACCCTATGTGCCCACAGGGATCCAGTTTCATTAGTGTCTGGCCTATTCTTCCCATGTTTTTGTTAAGAGTAAGCAAATACATAAGCACGTACACGTAGACACGCTCTCTTATTTGCCTTCTTTCTTACCTAAAATGTCAACTGTACACACTTGTTTGGAGGACGAGCTCCACCATGATGCCCAGGCACTCCTGCACAAATCCACACAGGCCATGCCGGCAGAAGCTTAAACCACATCTATGAATCTGTCTTGGGAAAATGCTTTTCAATCCTCCTAGAAGATGAGGGGACGGAAGGCATGGGAGCAGCTGCCCCCTAGCCACCTCCCACTCACTTCCCTGTCTCTTCTGGGAGGGAGGCTGTCATGAGACCATTCCCTATCACCTCCTGGGCTCTGGTGGCGTTTTTGGTCTGCTGCTTTTGGGGTGCAACTACAGACTAAGAAGGTGTTCAGTGGCAGTCTAGAATGGGCGCGCCATAGAGGGTGCGACTCTGACTCGCGTTGCAGCCATCAGCCCTTTTTGTCTCCGTGGTGTCCCTTTTGGTATGTGAAACAAGAACCCAGGGAGCTGGCATCTTTGGCTCCTTGTAAGAACCTAAAAGTGGCCCATTTCATCTTTACTGGGTAAATCAGTCAGGCTTTGGCCTTGCTTTATCTTGCGTGCTTAACAACTTGGTTGTTTGATTTCACAAAATAATACAGAAATCTTAGCATATCAGTTCTTAGTGGCCTTCCTCATTCTTTACGACTCTATGTTTGTGTGCCACAGTGCAGTCACCTGGTCTCCACCTGAGCCATTCCAAGCAGTTCTTTTAAGCCTGTGGACTTAAAACAAATGCTACAAGGATGGTGTTGTAAAATTACTAAGGCCTTTTATATCAAGAGGGCCTAAAATATAGCTAACTAATTTCCTCTTAAATTCAATACTCACCCATTTTCCTTGGCCTAGAACCTTCTGGGACAGGCAGGAAGCAGCTGCTGCCACCTTAGAAGGGTGATAATGCACCATGTCATAGTCAACGAGAGTCAGTTCCATCAGATATTTGGCTAACGTGTGCTGTTCAACGTCGACCTACGAAAGAACACCCAGGGACGGTAAGAAGCACAGCTGTCAGTATCTCTTGCAAAATTCTGGGTGAAGGCCTTGGAACTCCAACCTGCTGAACTCACTCCTCCTTCCCGGGCACCGCCCTAGGCCGCAGTACGTTACAAACACAGAACGTGAGGTTTTGTCTCGTAAGAACTAGTGAGATAACCATTAGGGCTTGTTTAAAAGGGGCTCCCTATAAATTCATAAGCTTTCCTTTCATTGGACCAACGTTTGCGGGAGAAAAGAACAAAATAGAGTCTCCTACGGAACTGGCGGCACTCACCTCCCCGGCTTTCGAAGCTCGCCTTAAGAAGTGTAGCGGCAAAGGTCGACCCAACTCGAATTTCAGCTCTTTCAAAATCAGAGTTTCCATTTCTCGAATTTGGGAACTGGTATAAGCATTGTCTGTGATGTAAACGAAGTCTTCGATATTTGGAGAAAACATCTCCTCATACTTGGAAGCCAGGAGCAGAGCTGTAATCCCAACCAGCTGAAGCTTCTTCCGAGAGACTGGCTGAACCTAATTGAAGAAGAACGTGTCAAAAGTCGTATCTGAGGAGAGAATGGGGGCTCTGGGCGGAAGAACAGTAGTGGAAACCAAGTCTTGGAGAAGTGCTCGCACTCCTCTTAAAGACACAGGAGACCTGAGTGTTGACCTGAGACCCCCCGCCCCCCACTCACAGCAGCTGTCGTGGAGCGCTCGCCATGTGTCAGGCCCTGTGCCAAGATTCAAACAATCATCTCAACAAATCCCCAGAGAATCTAGGCAGCATGTATTTATTCCCCCACTTACAAACAGGTGGCCTGAGAGGAGAATCAGACACCAGCCCAAGATCACTCAATTGTTGAACAGGGAAGAATCAGCCTGACAACGAACCTCCTAGTCACTGCTCCACCCCCATCATCCTGGGTTGAGTCCGGGGAAGCCCCACCGCGGCACTCAGGATGTGGCAAGCAAAAAAGCAGGGATTCAGTGGACGCCTAGGGACGAGGAAGGGGTGTCTCAAGCATTTCCTTAACCCTCACCACCAGAAGTACACACATTATTCAGCCTGAAGAATCATTCAAAGATGCTTCAGAGTCAGGGGAAATCTCAGTCTAGGGTGTGTTTCTCTTCTTCTTCTTTTTTTAAACCGGGAATTTGCTTTTATCGCTTCAACTCTCAATATTGAAAACCTACCAAAAATAAGACAGTGCTTTCCTACTCAGTGAGGACCGTATAATGGAAACCAGTGACTCTAAGCTTACTTAGCATCTTGCAGCATCTCGGGGTCATTATTATCAACACAATTATTCCTGTATTGTTT